AAACCATTTACTCTAAGTGTCTTTGGTTACAGAAGAATATGGTTTTGTGATTTACTAGATGGCTGTATAAACTGCCTGGCAAACTATCTGCCCGCAACCAAGGTACATGCCCTTGACCAGAATCGAACCTGGGACCTTTCAGTCCGAAGGCCGACGCTCTATCCACTGAGCCAAACCGGTTAGGGCTACACAGTCTCTTTTACATAGAAGTCAAACCTGCTTTTCTTTCCCTACTTTCCTGCTCAGTGATTGATGGCCACACCAGCATTCATTCAGCTATAAAACCCTGGGCATCATTTTCAATTCCTGCCTCATTTTATTTCTCTTATTTAATTACACATCAAACTATTGCCTCCAGTTCTGAAACTTTTCTAGAATTTTACCCTCTTCTTTACTCATACTATTATGGCCTTGCTTGATGTTATAGGAAACACTTCCTTCACTACATTATAGCTTTTTCCTTTGCTTTGCAGAGGAGGTAGAGTGAACAAACTGTTGAGCAAATGAGGTCCATGTGACCCTGTCCAAAAAGATAAATTATGTGTAATGCAATAGGGAAGAAAACATGTCGTATTTGTCAAGTTCCTGTGAGGTATCCTTCTGCATACAGGAATTATGCTTGCTTAGATATTTATTTTTTACTAGAAGCCCAGTGCACAAAATTTGTGCACTGGAGGGGGGGTGTCCCTCAGCCCAGCCTGCACCCTCTCCAATCTGGGACCCCTCAGGGGATGACCGACTGCCGGTTTAGGCCTGATCCTGCAGACAGACATCCCTCTCACAATCTGGAACTACTGGCTCCTAAACACTCGCCTGCCTGCCAGCCTGATCAATGACTAACTGCTCCCCTGCCAGCCCAATCATCCCCAACTGCCCTCCCTTGCTGGCCCGATCACCCCCAACTGCCCTTCCCTGCTGGCCTGATCTCCTCCAACTTCCCTCCCCTGCTGGCCCGATCACCCCCAACTGCCCTCCCCTGCTGGCCTGATCTCCTCCAACTTCCCTCCCCTGCTGGCCCGATCACCCCCAACTGCCCTCCCCTGCTGGCCTGATCTCTTCCAACTTCCCTTCCCTGCTGGCCTGGTCGCCCTAACTGCCATCCCCTGCCAGCACGATTGCCCACAACTTCCCTCCCCTGATGACCATCTTGTGGCTGCTATCTTGTGATAATGTGGGGGTGGCCATCTTGTGACGACGTGGGGGCTGCCATCTAATGATGGCGTGAGGGCACGAGGGCCACCTAGGCTTTTATTAGTATAGATTAGAAAAGAGGTAGGAATGTGTTCTTCAGTGTCCTGAATGAGCTAGAAAGTTGTGATTGGTTATCATAATTGAATCTGTTTCAAGTGATGGAAGCAGGTGTGATGAGGTGTCACCACAGGCTCACCCTTCCTGCCTCTATAAATTATAATGTGGTTACATCACTCCCCTTCTGAGCCAGTTTGGCCTGGTGGTGTTCATGCAGAAATGCACGTAATAACTCGTGCTTAGCATTGTCATGGATAGTGATAGGGTTTCAGGACATGCTACCCCAAATACGGCACCGTGGTAAAGTGAATATTTTAAGCTGAAAGAGTCTGAGAAAACAGCAGAAACTGGAAGGTCACTTTGACCTCCCCCTCCCCCTTCTTCCCTGAAGCAGGCCAAAACACCCTCTAACATGAGGGTTTTATGACCTGGAAAGGAGCATGACAAAGGGAAAGAGAGAAGAATCCAAACAGGTTTTGCTGTTTCTCCCAGGTTACTACACTTACCTCATACTTTTTGGCAGATCATACTTCCCCACAACTATCCACTCTTCATCAACCTAGCATAAAAATACTCAGTTAACCCCTTCTTTACGTCTTCATTTCCTATGAAGGTTTCCATGTCACATAAAATTTATACACTTGCCCTGGCTCATTGCAGATTCAGTTCCTGGTCAGGGCATATACCTAGGTTGCCAGTTCGATTTCTTGTTGAGGCAGGTAGGGGAGGCAACCGATTGATGCTTCTCTCTCACATAGATGTTTCTTTCTCTAAAAATCAACAAAAACATATCCTCGAGTGAGGATTAAAAAATTATATGCTTTTCTCTTGTTAATCTGTCTTTGTCAGTTTAATTTTCAGGCCCATCCCAGGTAGGAGGACCCAGGAAAATGTTTTCCTCCCCTACAATAGGTAATAAAAGTAAAATTAGACACACACACACACACACACACACAACCTTTCAGTTTATTCTATGTCCTTAAACTATCTCTGCAATTAAACTAAAACCTAGCCTAGTAAGGTAGAAGTTGCAGTTGCCTACCCAACAGCCATTTTTTCTCTTTTTAAATACTATTTGACACATAGTAAAACAATTATTTGAAATTCAAATTTAACTGGAAATCCTGTATTTTATTTGGCAACTCTAACATTTATATATTCAATGGTTATATTCTTTAGTAACATGTCCATATATAAACACTAGAGGCCCAGTGCACGAAATTGGTGCACTGGTAGGGTCCCTGCGGCTGCCGGCTGCCAGCCGGGTACTCCCTCCCTTCCCCTGGCAGGCCCCACCCCATGGTCGAACTCCTGGACAATGCTGGTTGAGGGGACAATTTGTATACTACGCTTTTATTATATAGGATATTCAGATTAGTAAACAAATAATTTTTTGAAAAGCACTTGTGAGCATTTATGTCCAATATCTAGTCCTCAAGGTCCATATCCCAAAAAGTCCGGGGTCCCAGTCCATGGCTCCAACTTTGTGCACATTGAGAGCCGTGTCATATGGTAGAAAGTATAGCACCTGCAAGGTCATGTTAGCAAAGGAAGTGAGGTTGTTGTCCCAGATGAATCCTCTGGAGGGAAACTGTGGTGCTGAAGATCCATGAGTGAAGACAAAATGACACCCAGCCAGCCTCCCCACCTCCTGCCCAAGAGAGAAATGATGCAGCCAGGCCCTTCCAGTGACCACCTCTGGGTCTGAAAGGGCAAGGGGAGGGGTAAACTGAGAACTTTTACTGAGAGATCCCTCCCATGATGGGGGCTGGGGAATCTGGGCATAAGTACCATGATCTAATTCTGCTTCCTCTTACAGATCTCTTGCCAATGCCTCCTCACCAGCAATATTTTCTGATTGGACCTGGAGGTCAGTGAGCAAGAGAGGGTTAGAGGAAGTCCACACTGGTCAGCCTTCTGGGGAACAGAGAAAGACAAAGGTGAGTGGAGAATGTATCCAGAGAAGCAAAGGAAAAATACTCCACGTACTTTCTGAGGTTCTGGGGCTTGCCAGCATTATATCTCTCCTTGTTTCCTTTCCTACTGCTGGGAAAGAACCAGCAGAGAGGGGCAGAAGAATCCTGCTTAGGAAATTATTTTCACAACAGAACGCCACATAGCATGGACTCAGCATGGCTATCCATAATTTTTGGATTATGCTTCTTTGGGAAAGTTTTTTGGGTTCCTTCACTACCCCAACCCAGGAAGGGTGCTCTGTCCTGTGACAATATTTTATCAGTACACTGTCTGTATTCTACATAGTGTCTTATCTTATGTGCCCAGAGTCTAGCCAGGTTTAGCACAGAGTAAATGTTGAATGGAAGGATGAATGAATGCATGAATGCTTGATCAGAGGATGCTAAGGAGTTTAGGGAGATAACAGTATCTTGAATTTCTCCCACTCTCCCACAAGATGGCAGCAATCACCATGGTCCAATTTTCCTATGTGAGGAACTCAGCACATCTTCATTGAGTGCCTTATGAACACAATAAGTCTGTTTTTCAAATCATTATATTAAGGACAGAATAATACACTGATGGCAAGGAAAAGAAAAAAATAAAACTTAATATTTACTATCACTAAATTATTGGATATGGTACTAAACATTTTACTTTAAAAAGCATTTGGGAAACATGTGTTACTGAATTTATGAAAGAAAAATTGCCCTCTGTGCAAATGTTAGATGAACAAATGAATTTTCTCTGACCCATGTGGTACCTAGTTGTTATCTGATCTCCTAGAATCACTCTGTTGGGCTCTTCCCATACACCTGGCTCTGTTTTCTTGCTCTCAAAGTTAAAAAGTTCATAGGTTCCAGGTTCTCAGGCGGCTTGCTTCTTACTCCAGCCACTTCAGTCTGTGCAGAGACCATACAGTGCTTCTTGTACTGGACAGTGAATTCTTAAACTCATCATGGTGTCAGATCATATTCACTTCTGAAAAAGGACACGACTTTCAGAAAATTGTTACCGAGTAAGTAGTCTTTACAAGCTCAGGGATGAGAGTGTCCCAGTGAGGTTGAGGGTAACTTAGTTTTCTTAAAAGTACTATATATGTGTATATATATACACACACACACACACACACACACGCACACACACACACACACACACTAGGGGGCCCAGTGCATGAATTCGTGTGCCTTTGAAAGGACCTGTGGGCCGCGAGTCTGTGGTGGGCACAGGAGTGGGTCTCGGGCCCATCCTCTGCACCTCCCGCCTGGCCCTTCCCATTGCAGCCCCCCGGTCCCCTGTCTGCCAGCATCCCTGCTGCCACCACTGCTGCTCCCACGTGCTGATGGCACCGACCCGCTCGCACCCGCTGAAGGTGCGAAGTGATTGGGGCCGGCACCATCAGTAGGTGTGAGCGGCAGCGTGCTTCCCCCGATTGCCCCTCAGGAGCAGGGGGGAGGGTGGGAGTAGGCCCTCAGGGCCCGTCAGGGCCGGCAGCCGGCCCCTCGGCACCCCGCTGATGGGACCCAAGCGGATTGGGAACTTGGACTTGGGCAACGGGCAGGTGAGTGCGAGCAGTGGCTCTGGCACTGGCAGCAGGTGTGAACATCTGACAGGACCGTGGCATGCGGGAGAAGGATTTTTTAGTAACCACCAGAGCTTGCCCGATGACAGCAACCGGCGCCCCGCCTTGGTCTGGCACCCCCGCTCACCTGCTCCACCATCCTGCTGCAGCTGACGCCTGCCATGTTCTGCCTACGCCCCTTGGTGGTCAGCACATGTCATAGTGACCAGTTGTTCGGTTGTTCCTGTTATTCTGCCATTCGGTCTATTTGAATATTAGCCTTTTATTATATAGAATTATTTCAGAGAGGAAGGGAGAGGGGGAGAGTGATAGAAACATCAATGATGAGAGAGAATCATTGATGGGCTTCCTCCTACATGCTCCCTACTGAGGATCAAGCCTGCAACCACAGGCTGACGCTCTATCCATTGAGCAAAACCGGCTAGGGCCTTAAAAGTATTTACAGTTTCTGAGTGTCTTAGAAATCAAGAGCATGGTTCCTACATTAAAAAAGGAAACTTAACTTGCAGAAATCTTGCTTGGATTTTGCTACTTTTGCACTGCAAGATTGCCAAGACTTGTCTTCAAATTTACCAATTCTGGAATTAGCATATATTTGCCCTGTTTATAACTTTAAACAAAGCTATGTCCCAGAGACGTGTCTATGTTAGTAACACACAAGAATACGAAGGATGAGGAGGGGGAAGAGAATGCAGAGAAGAATGATCACAGAGCACAGTTGTTTTGGTCCCTGGGCAGTGGAGAGAGTCCCTAAGAGGCTGGTTTTCCTGAATCTCAGTTGCTAAGGGAGAGCCCACACTCCTTTAACACCATCGTCTCCCAGGAACTATATCCATCCTTTTTATAGGATATCATTTAAACATTACAACTGTTCCATGTCAAAGCACAATTTAAAAAAGTTAAAAACATGATTTTCATATAAAAATAGAATGCATATGTGCCAAAATATATTAAGCTCAATATTGAACGAAGGAACTAGTAACATAACAAAATTGGTTTCCAAAAGCATTTAAGGAAAAGGGAATTATGTAGCATGCCAGGAAAAAAATTTTAAAGATAGTTAATGTCCTATAAACAATAAAATTATAACCCTTGGTATGATTTTTTCTATTGGACAGAAATATAAAAATTAATATGTAACTTCATAATTTTGGGGCTCTAATCAAAGAGCAAATAGGAAAATCAAACAAAGGTACTTTTTCCAAGGGAATCAAACAATCCTTGCAGGCTTGATAAATAATGACCCAGAATGACATTGAAAGGACATAAAGTGATCCTCTTTATTGCTTATAATTTCTTGTTTATCCTCCAGGCTTTTCCTCTCTAGACTGAAAGCATCATGGGGTCAGGGGCTGGTGTGTCTTTTTGCCATTGTGAAGAACTTGCAAACACATAATGAGCAGTGACGGGCGCTGAGTATGCAGTGAATCAATGTTTGCTTAGCTGAAGTGAATAGAGTTTTAGAAAGATGAGTAACTTGCATAAGTGGTGAGTGGCAGATTCCCTGAGATTTCTTGTAACTGCTCAGTAGGAGGTGTCCTATTTCCTAGGAGTGCTATAGCACATCATCACAAACTGGGCACCTTAAAGCAACAGACATTGATCTGCTCACAGTTCTGAAGGCTTGAAGTCTGAGAGGGGCTGGCAGGCCATGATCCCTCTGAAGGCTTTAGAGAAGATTCCTTCCTTGCCTCTTCCTAGCTTCTGGTGGTTGCTAGCAAGCTCTGGTGTTTCCTTTTAGCTGCATCACTCCATTCTGCCTGTCTTCACATGGTTGTCTTCCCTTCATGTCTGTCTGTATCTCTGTGTCTCTTTTTATAAGGACACCAGTGATTGCTAATAAAATATGGCCTCATCTTAATTAAATCTGCAAAGACTATTTTCAAATAAGATCACGTTCACAGTACCATCAGTTAGGACTTGAACATCTTTTTTTTAAAATTTATTTTTATTGATGCCAGAGAGGAAAGGAGAGGGTGAGAGAGCTAGAAACATCAATGATGAGAGAGAATCATTGATCGGCTGCCTCCTGCATACCCCCTACTGGGGACCAAACCCACAACCCGGGGCTATGCCCTGACAGGGAATCGAACCGTGACCTCCTGGTTCATAGGTCAATGCTCAACCACTGAACCAGCCAAACTTGAACATTTTTTTTTTAAATATATTTTATTGAGTTTTTACAGAGAGGAAGGGAGAGAGATAGAGAGTCAGAAACATCGATGAGAGAGAAACATCGACCAGCCGCCTCCTGCACACCCCCCACCGGGGATGTGCCCGCAGCCAAGGTACAAGCCCTTGACCAGAATTGAACCTGGGACCTTTCAGTCTGCAGGCCGTCGCTCTATCCACTGAGCCAAACCGGTTACAGCATTGAACATATTTTTATGGCGGACACAATTCAACCCATTACAGGAGGCTTGGAGACAGAAGGTCTTGGGTGTGAATACCCTTTAGTCCATTTAGTCGGGTAAGAATCTCTCAGCATTGTGTGTAGGCTTTCTGCTTACCCAGGTGTTGGGGAAAAAATCCTGTTCTTAGCTACATGCACTTTCAGGAGCCCCAGGCACTTATCATGACTATTTTGCATCTAGTCACCTTGTTTTGATCTTTTAGCTCTAGTTCTAGTAATAAATCCCTTTCATGTTCTCTGAAATGAAGTACTTGACGTTTACCCAGGTTCTAGTAAGTAAGTTCTTACCTTGACCCTGTGTTATCTGAGGTTGTGGTACCTGTTCAGGAGACCAGTTCTTCTGGGACCTAATCCATGCCCTGCTCCTGCCAAAGCACCCAGGTGCAATCAAGTACCAGCTGAGCTGTGAGTTACTAGAGAACAGGGAGGGAGCAGGCACTCCACTGTGACTGGCAAAGAGAAAAGTGGGCAGAGATGGCTTGCTTCTTTTTGTGGTTGGCCTGGCATTCACAAGGTGTGCTTAGCTGATTTCTGACCTGGTGGGTGTCAGTGGCATCCTATCATGGTGCCTGTGCTAGAGAGGCCTTTTGGGGTTTGGGAGCAGCAGCAGTCCTTAGCATTTGGCTGAAGAAAGCATAATATTCAAGTGTTTAGCTGTAAAACCTTCCAAATTAGGTTTGTTTTTTTATTTTGTTTTGTTTTTTTTGCACATCTCCTACAGTAAGCATTTATTAGTTGACTAGAAGCCCAGTGCACGAATTCATGGATGGGTGGGATCCCTCCATCTGGCCAGCAATCGGGGCCAGGGCCAGTGGCTGGGAAGGGACCGCAGGAAGGACTGCGGGAGAGCTCCAGGGTGTGTCTAGTAGCCCCATCTCACCCAGTCCCGATTGGCCGGACCCCAGCAGCAAGCTAACCTACTGGTTGGAGCATCTGCCCCCTGGTGGTCAGTGCATGTCATAGCAACCAGTCAGTCGACCACTTGGTCG